TAAATTGAACCTATAGATATCAACAGGGCAGTTTGGTTTGAATATTAGTTTGCATATTCATAGTTGCATTCATGAAAAATCCTGAATATTGTTTGGCACCATTTAACTTTTATAAATAACCTAAGCATTTCTGAGTCTCTGAAGATTGATGGTGTTACTTTATGACTTGTGGTATTTACTTTAGAAAGGACTAGTGCTTCGAGGACTTAGGGGTTGCTCATGTTTGGTTGTTTCTTTTTATATTGGAAGAATCATAATACAGATATCTAATGGATAAATATAGGTATATGGGTTGGTGGATTTCCTGTTATTTTTGATAATACTTCTTAGTTTGATTGTTTGAGTGAATTTATGTAATGACTTTCCTATAAAATCTGTAATTTCACCCATCTTTGAAAAACAACTGTAAAATCTCTCAACCTCATATACTTCTCCAACAGCTACTGCCCAAGTTTTCTGCTTGACAACAGAACTCAAAAGAATGCTGTTCAATTCCTTTCTTTCCCTTCTCTCTTGAACCCACTCCTCCAGTAGATGGAAAAGATTGCAAATGTTTGACTCTGCCTGTCATATTACTCAGTCTCATCAATGTGTCTTTATTTAGCTTTCAGGATACCACAATTGCTTTGCTTTAGTCCTGTCATTGTGATTACTCCCAGTCTTCCGTACTGGTTCTTCATCAACCTGACCCACGGAACTTAATGTATCCCAAGGCTCAGTCCTTGGGCTTACCCATTACACTCTTAATTTTTTGTTGATCTCATCTAGTCTCCTGGCTTTTATATCAATATGCTGACAACCCAGAGCTTATCTTTATTCCAGATCTCATGTGAACCCAGGTTCATATGCAACTGCTTAATTGCTGTCACCGCTTACATAACTAAAATATCCTTTCCCTACCCTTTCCTCTTTCCCACCTAACCTGTTCTTTAGCCTTTTCCATCTCAGAGTAGCACTTAAGTTCTTCCTAATTTCTCTGGCCAAAACCCTTGGTCATATCTGATTCTTTTTTCTCTTCATCTAGTTTCTCACCTCAGAGTTTTCCCTTCGCTTTGCATACCCATATTTCCCATTTCAGCATTTTGATTTTCTTTATCACAATCACTTTCTGACTTGCTACAATTGATTGTCTCCCACCTATTAGAATGTAAGCTTCATGAAGGCTAGACATTTTAATCCCTTGATTGACTGTTTTATTCCAGTGCGTAGGACAGTGCTTGACACACAGTAGACACTTAATAAATGTGTTGTATTAATGAAGACAAACCGTAGGTTATAATGTGAATGTTCTTTGAAGAAAGTAATAGCGATATATGTTTCAGGTTTTGAATGTTGATATTCAGTATGCTAAATAACAAAATACTTCACCTGCTTTGTTGGTTATTGAATTATACCTAATAAATGTTTTTCTACCATGGTGTTAATGTGACTCATAAAATCAGTGTAATTTCAGGAATTGGAACATTTGTTAATTTTTTATAGTCTTGTTTTCAATAAAGCTTATATTTCTGGGATGCAAATCCTATAGTGTGTAGACATGAGTAAAACTTTGTTTACTTTTAAATGGGTAGTCTGTTTTTGCAATACCTTTTAACTTTTATTTAAATA